TCAGGACAGTGAGGTTCTGGTCAGCATCCAATAGTCTTAGAAACAAGGTCCTACTGACTATTGAGACAGTTTTCAATCCAACTAAACATAATATCTAGTCTCAATGGTGTTTTAGCTCCGGACCCAGGAGAGCAGAATGACCCCACAGAACAAGCCCTTGTGAAATTGGACAGAGCAACTCCATGGCTGACATCAGGACCAAAGGCTAGGATCAGATACCCCTCCCCTAGCACCAACTAATCAGCAGTCACCATGATTAGTGATCTTTCCTGTATAATCCATGCCCGGGAAGCCATCGGGGAGCCAGGTCTGTGAGCAAGAGCCACCTGTGACTCCGGGCATGGCGCCATCTCCTTCAGAAATCCTCACTTTCTTGGCTGCAAACTCCTGTTGGTGTTTTATTGGGCTTTCATGCGCGCAGGCCAATGGTACTGTTCAGCCTGGTAACAGCGTTACTTTAGTCAAAATTAAAGTAAAAGAGTATAAACAAACAGAAACAGCCCACATGGCTTGTCTCTCTGAACTAGTAAATTAAACTAAGCGATGAATGTTTTATAACATGATAGCATGTGATTCTAGCCAGTACTGCTTGAGGCACTTTGAGCTCAGAGCCAGAAAGTCCTGTTTTTACACATGAAGGGAAGCTCAGCATGAGCTCAGTGATGGACACTTCCCAGGGGTGGGAAGGTCGCAGCCACATAAGAGATGCCGTTCTTATTGATGGTTAAATTCCAGATGCAACCTGAAATTTCAGTTTTTCATGCGCATATGCAATGATGCGGAGAAAGAAGTCTTGAGAACTATGAGATGTATCTGCAACATCACAGTTAAACTTCCTGGTGTGGAACCCAGCCAAAGATAACATAAAGAAAACACTGAGCACAAGAGTGGTGACTTGAAATTCAAAGGTGTTGACCTATTAGTCACCTGTCCACAGTCACTAAAGAAACCTGCTGAAAGAAGACCCACGGGGTGGGGTGGGGTGGAGAGCAGACTCGTACATTCCACACTCCAAATGGGTCCAAAGAATCAACTGCTGAATGTGAAAGGGACACCTGAACCCGTGAGAGCAAACTGAAAACATTTTCAAGGAAACAGGAAATGAATTCAAATATTGCAAATAATTCCCAAGCTTTCTCTCTCTCTCTCTCTCTCTCTCTCTCTCTCTCCCTCCCTCCCTCCCTCCCTCCCTCCCTCTCTCTCCTCCCAAATCTTGTTTTGGCTTCAAGTTACCTTTCCACCAGTCTGTTCAGATTTTAATTTCATGGTGTGATCATTCAAGCTTTGGTGAACGCCCGGCAATAATTTGAGCTGGCTGGTCAACACACCAAACCCATTACAACTTCTCATTTGCATCGCTAACATCTAAAGCACTGAAGAGATTCAATGTAAAGGCAGTCCTTTAGTCACACAGTCTCAGGGAATCCCCCCCCCGCCCCCCCCCCC